AATCTGCCTCAATCTGCTTCCCGCTGCCAAATGCCGCCACCAGTGCCTAGGTCCCGGGGGATTGGCACGCTCCATCGCAGAGCCCCTCCGATCTGAAGGCCGCACCGGGGCCTAGGGCGCCAAACCTCCTCCCAATAAAATACTCAAAAGCTTCTTGTTTTCTCGTCTCTCCAAATTGAAATATGAAAGGCTTTTTGTGTGTCTAACTCACCTCATCTCCCTCCTTCCATTGGCTGAACTTAAAGTAGCAATATGTAAGATTTTCATGTCAAGTCATCATTAAAGGGCCCTAATCTGTCAAAAGGCATTAATAAACTATTCCCTTTTTGAAAACTGCTTTAACTAATAAAAGTAGTTTAGCCGAGATTTTTGCATTTCTAAATTACTTTTCCCGCCTCTAAATCTTGTTATTGTTTTCATTTCGATGTCCCGCCCTCCACCGTTTCACCAATCAGAAAGTCTGTGATCCGGGCGCCAGAACTCACCGCGTGGAGCTAATCTCACTGGTAAAGTACCATGTGGAGCTAATCTCACTGGTAAAGTACCATGTGGCGCTGAACTAAAAAAGGTCTCGTTATGATTCTCAAATCATTAACGACAAAACAAGGAATAAAAGCAGGATTTCTATCTTTGTGAAAAAGGTGTTGGTTATAGATTTGTTGTTGACAAAACTCTTGTCTATTCAGCTGTTATGGTCCCAGCTGGATTCGTCTGCATATCTGGCAACCTGAGTCAGGGACAGTGGGAGAGGCTGCAGTACCACTTTTGGCCAGATACTTTTACATACTAACCTTGAAACAACTAGAACTCTGGGAACTCTCGGTGTGAATAACACAACACGCACAATTATAGAGTCAGGAAATATTAAGTGGCCTTACAGTGGCCGACCAACTAGAAGAAAGGAAGACAACACCGAAGCAAATGCAGTGACTTAGAGCGTGCCCTGGGGTCTAATAAAATGCAGGGCCGGCTTTTCGCTGTCAGTCGAGAAGCATCTGGTGCCGTTCCACTCCAAAGACAAATACAAATACGCTGCCATGTTCTCACTGGCCTGTGACCGCGGTGTGGAGGTATGTGCTGGTTTTATGTCCTGTTTTCACTCATCCAGACTATACTCAAAAGGACTCGAGTTAACTTTAAAACTTTTAATACCAAAGTTTGTGGGGCTAACTTTTCTTCTTTGCCCTGGTTATAACGTAAGTGGGGTCTGGTCTGGGATGATCAAATAAAACATATTTTCATTCACTGCTGAGGATCACTCTAAGAAAGGGAATCATTTGGAGTTTGAAGTTAATTGCGGCGTCTGGAAAGTGTTGGAGAGAGTTTTATCATTCTTTCACAACAGAACTCCAGGATATATTGCACAAATCCCAGAATGAAACCAAAAGTCCCACTCAAAAGTTATTCATGTGACCCTAATGAACTGAGCTTTTTTAGGGATGATCTATTTCTATGAGGAAAACAAAACAATACAAAACATTACAAAAAAATTGCTCATGTTTAGTGTTTTAGACATTTAACACATAGAAAAAGCCATCAAAGTGGTTAATACATTAATACACATTAATACACATTAATACAGCTGTACCATTACACACAGGGAAGCAGCATTTCAGATGTACTGTATGCAGCTCAACTCCAGAACAGTCTTCCTGGATATGTGAGACAGGCTTCAACTCGACAATGTCCAAAATCCAGGTTAAAAACAGTTCTGTTTAACTGCATACAACTGAATACCAACTATACTTATTCTTTAATGTACTTTGATTCTTTTAATGCTTTGAGTTTTTATTCATATTATGTTTTGTTAAACACTTGGAGTTTCCGTGTGCATAAACTGTGCTTAACAATATAAATGTGAAACCTTTTGATGCTGCTGCTACAGTGTGTACTCCACAAGTGACTTATCCTTGAACCAAGAATATTTCTTATTTTATTTCACAGGGACACTGTAGTCGTAGATAGTTAGTTATAGATAGTTACAGCACGAAAGATGCGACGCACACAGAGTGAGTGGCTCTGGAATTCTTATTATTTTATATATATTTGAACCTTTTAATATGTTTGCAGGCTTCCTGTCTTCGTGCACACCCTGATGAGTGATTCTACCTTTGCCAATGTGACATTTCTCCATTTTCAGATCAACCAAGTTTATCTTTTCTTATTTTATATTTCATAATCAATTATCTTAAAGGTAGGGGCGACAGTAGCTCAGTTGGTAGAGCATTGGCCTTAGAGCCTGAAGGTTTTGGGTTCGAGCCCACCTCAAGACCTTCTTCATGACTCCCACTGATGACTGCTGTCGTTGTGTCCTTGGGCAAGACACTTAACCCCACTTTGCCTGAAGCCCCCGCTGAAAGATCTCAGCTCCTGTGGACTCAGCACCTGCAGGAGGATCAGTGAGGGGCTGGTGCTCTGACTGCCACCCCCCAAACCCAGACATGGATTAAGGGGAAGAAAATGTATGGATGGATCTTAAAGGTATAAAGGAGAACTCTTTGAACCAAACTCTCTGGTCTTATTTGACGAGCACGTATCACCAGAACTGAAGTAGAACATCCTCCTGTGTACATGTTTTATATAATCATGTCATGCCGAGGACTCTTATTCTATTCTTTTATTCTGCTGTAATGTGTCATTTCCACACAGGTTTATCTTATCTCATCACTTACAAAAACTAGCACATTTTCTTTACAACTACCTCCATCTCAAACCTTAAAGCAATGAGAAATACCGTCACATTCACGCCGACCCCGAAGGCGGCGGGCTATTACCATCAACATTACGTGTGTGTGTGGCGATGCGAAAATGGAACTCACGCTCAGGAGCAGGCACTTGTTCTCCTTGATGGCGCCCAGGCAACCGAGGAAGCCCGTAACCATGACGATGGCCCCGACGAAGATGACCATGTTGGCGGCCGAGAGCGAGGGGAATGAGGGCGAGAAGGTGGCGAAGCTGCCTTGAGAGACGGACAGCCAGATGCCCACGCCGAGCAGCCCGCAGCCACACAACTGCAGGAAAAACGGGAAAAAAAAATAAACAAAGTTGATCAGCGGCGAGAAGAGGTGACGGGGTGAAAAAACACACACACAAAAGAGAAGAGAAGTCACACAAAAGTTCATCTGCATTTCTTTCAAGCCCGGAATAGCACAGACGGACCTTGGCAGAGTCTTGGCCGTTGGAATAAGGTCAGTGGTGAATTAGCATGGTGGTGATTACGCCGTAAAACATCGGGTTGGTACAGTGGACTTGAATAACTTCTTGGGAACCAGGGCAGAGACAGGCGGTGGACTGTCTTGCTCAAGGACACAACGGTATTATGCAATCTGTGTCGGCTCATAAATTATCTCGCTTATTGCAGATCAAACCAACAGCAAAACCACAGCTATAGCGTGTAAGCCTGGGACCGAGCAATAGTGGTTTTCAGTTTTTCCTTTGCCAATACAGGTGTAAATCTAAAGTATTTTTTATTTATATATCGCCTTTCACAGACCAGAGTCACCAAGCGTTTTACAACCGTTGTGGGTATTTGTCTCTCACTCCACACAGAGATGGGAGCGAGGCCAGTACAGCGGCGCATGCCAGAACTATTGTGCATGTTTTTAGTGGTAGAGGAAACAGGAGCACCCGGAGGAAACCTACGCAGGCACAGGGAGAACATGCAAACTCCACTCAGAAAGGCCCTGTTCCGACCGGGATTCAAACCCAGGGCCACCGTGCTGCCCCAGGGTCTAAGGGCAGTGGTGATGATCCAGGACACGTAAAAAATGAATTGAATTGAACTGAACCAATTCAACGTTTTGAATGAAAAATGCATTTTGAGTAAAAGTGGTGTATACTTATGGTGGCTTTTACTTGTGAGGAAGAGAAATGACTCACTATTTGACTCTTTGGGCAGAGAGATGATTGGCTGAGTGAAGGTGAGTAAAAAAATGTTTAATTGTCTGTGTGAAAAAGCTGATCTAAAAGTCCAAAAATACATGTATGTGAAAACTAGTGATAGAACCGAACTGTTTCGAGAGTGAGGATCGACTTTCAGATGATTTTCCTGGGTTCAGATGTTTGTGGTTGGAAAGTTAGATACCCCAGCTTTAAATAAAACAACTCATAGTTAAGGCAGTGGACAAAGAATACACCAGGACTGGACTGGGACACTTTAAAAAGTTATCCAAAACATGCATCTTGGACCAAAGTCTCAATCAAAAACACAATTACCCCAAATCAGGCCCAGATTTCACACCAACAGTCGAGTAACATCAGATACTTAAAAAATAACAAGAGAATCTGCAGCAATTATGTCTCCAATAAACCCCTGCTTCTCTGTGAAGGATTAGACCTAAATTTGGACTCCGGCCGTGCTGGTTTGGGAGTCGCAGCTGATTATATTAAAGACTAAACAAACAGACAAAGCCATTACTGGCACCACTTTCAAATGACTAAGACTAAACTTTGAAAGCGGCTGCATTGGACTGGAGCGACGGTTTGATTTGTCTGTCACACAGCCAGACATGTTCAGTTAACACAGAAAATCTTTAGTAAGAGCAGAGTTTGGATTATTATAAACTGCAGCGTTAAAAGTGTATTTGAATATTAAAGCAAATATGATTTATGTATAAGTCTTTACGCCAATGCTTAGGCAGAATTATGGATCACAACTATTTCCCAACCTTCTTTATGTAAGAGTAAAATGCAGCTTTTTAACCAGAGATACAGGTTTTCTGTTGCTGCAATTTTCTAATGGGGTTAATGCTGTAAATAAATGGGATAAGGGCTAATGTTTTTGCACGTGTTAGCGATGAGCTGATATTTAGGGGTATTGCTGGGATTAACCTTCAAGCGACCGAGTGGGGTCATATATGACTCCGGGAATTGATATTTGTGCATCATTTTTCCAATTTTAATTTGAATCGAGAAAAAAAAAAAAAAAATCCTTCAACAAATTGGTCAATCTACTTGTCCTGCATTCGTTCATTGAATTAGGAAAAGATCGGCCAATCCGTGTTTCAAGTATAATCAAAACTTGTGCGTTCTCAAAAGCTATGAGATTTTTTACATTATAGCTTCAGATGGTAATGTTACTCTAAGAATTATAAATATATTTTTTGCAGGAAGCATGAACAATACCAAGAACAGCAAGATTTACAGCTGCACAAACATCGAGACAGATCCTGGATACGAGGACGTTCTATCATTGTGTGTTTTTTGTAAAATATTTGAAATTCCATGCATAAGTGTCATTTATATTAGAGTGAAATACATTCTCATTGCATTTCTTGTGTTTGGTTCTCTGATTGCTTGTTGGTGAATTTCACGGTTTTGAAAAGAAAACTGTTTAAACAATAAAACAATCATTTATAAAGAAATATTCCTCTACAGTATAAAGTCAATGGGCTCACTAATCCCCCCGTTCGGTTTTATTAGTTTCAGTTTCAGTTTAGTTTATTTCAAAGGGGGACAATGCAATTTAATAAAACACATGATAAAACATGAGTTAAAAAAAGCCAGAATTAGCCAAGGAGGCTATTTTTCATCTGTAGTCCCCTGGCTGTGATGTTAAAAAGCTATTAAAATACATTAACATGACAAAAGTTGCTGAAATTGCTTTGCCGCTTAAGGGTTAAAGTAGAAAAGAAAACAGAGATATCACCTTTTTTACTTGTGGAAGGTTTGTTATTAGCTTTTTTCCTCCCAAAAATACCAACCGATCTCTTCTGTTAACACAAACTCCAAACGTGGTCTGCCTTTGACGTTTTGATATTTTAATCCTCTGTGCCCTTTAAAACTTCATAAAAATGGCATGTGCCTAATTTTCCTCTGAAGTCTTTACCGCTGGCCTTCCATCGATCACAGACACAACCATTGCACATGACCGGTGAAATATAGCATCCGCTGACATTTTTGCCTTCATCTAATAGAATGAAAAACCCAGGGCGGTCTAGGTATGAAGGAGGGGAAAAGTGTGCTAGCTCTGTAAATCATCATTCTGCCACTATCTCTGCTACTCACACTATTCCCCCAATTTCTTTCCAATCTCCGCTTCGCCACACTGGACCACTTCAATGCCTGTCAGCGCTGTGTTCCCCGAGACCAGCCGTGCATGCAAACAAATAATATACAAACGGGAGGCCACCTATTCCCCACCTGGAAGCCATCATCAGTCGCAAATCACGGATAAGCCCGCAAAGCCGAGTCTCCGAGAAAATTAATACTAAAATATTCAAGCCAACGCAATTGCACAGAGCTAATTTTCTCAAGCTGACAAAGTTACAGCTGAAGAATGGCCCAGCTGAGGCCGGCCCACTTGGGGATGCATAACGCAGCTTCACTGACAAACAATGGTAGCTTCAGTTTGACTAATAGTCCGCTACAGCCAAACAAAGTGACTCCGGGCACATTAACAAAGTAAGGAGTGAGAGGTGAAGGGAAGGGACTGCAAATACAAGGTGCAGGAGGCGAGAAGTGATGTGGCACGTCTAATAGGTCCTAAAGGATTTCAATGTTTATACACAGCAGGGCAGTGATCATTCATTCATCGACACAGTATTGTGTTAGAGGGGTCAGTGCAATCAACCTTGAGACGGTGCATGCAGAACTCATCTAAGAAGATGTTCAAGGAAAAAGAGGGAAAATAATGCAGATTATAGGACATTAGATCGAATAGACATTAGATTCACATAGAGATAGATCCACATGCTTTTGTTAAAGGTGAGGTAAGCCATAAAGTAATGTTTTAATACATAATAACCTGCAGATTTACAACAACAACTCACTTGTTTCTATGCTTTAGTTGAATTAATGGAATCTGAGAGCAGTACTGACCATCCACAGTGAAACCATGTGTGAACAAATCAGCAAATCTGCTGTAGCTGATCATTTATTTAGCAGCTGCTGAGTCAGGCCTGTTTATATGTGTATTTTTATGTGCTAAAAGCACAAAGTCTGCCAAAAAGCTTACAACATGCAAACCCGCACTCAATCAATGGAGTAGCAACACATTTGTGTGAATACATAAAAGCTTGATACTGTGTTGTAGCAGTGATGAACCGCATTAACCATGAAATTAAATCTGGATGCTTTAATGGAGGCTGAAGACGCAGAGAGCTCATCCTGCTCCGCTATCAGCAACTGTAGCACAGACCATTGAATTCCTCACAAGAGCAATTGAACAATATGCTCTGGGTAGGATCACAGGTGTGAGCAAACTCTGCAGTTTCACTTATGTGCCGTCGAAATACCTCAGAGGACATTCACGAGGAGACACCATGGGTCCTTTATGATTAACTAATGAAGATTGTTGTAGAAAAAACACAAATAAAAATGTTTTGGATTCGACCTTTCTGGTAGTTGACTAGAAAAGAAAAGGTATTTTCAAGGGTCTGTCTCCTGGAGATGTGAGAACAAAAATAATAAGATGGATCAGCTTTGGAGAGAAAACTCACCGACACTAAACCAGTGTGTAAGGACAAAACCAATGCACCTTTATTCAAGTCCAAAGTTCATAAAACAAAGGAAAAGACCATAAAAAACCAGTGTAAAAGGAGCATTGATATGTACTCTGTGCATGTCCCATTGCTAGTTTCCTTGGAATGAACGGTTACGTCTAACAGCTGTATCCAGTACTCATCCTCACACCTTTCAAGCAGGCACAGGCATCAAAACAGATAAAACCCTGTATCGTGGCGGCCTCCAGACTCTGCTGACAGTCCGCCGTCCCTGGCAGAGTGGATTAAAGCGCGGCCAGGTGGTGAGGGCCACTGTGCCTGCTCTTTAATTGTGTTTAATGCCCAGTGAAAAGAGCTTGTCCAAGTGTGTCACTGTGCCTGCTGCCCCTGTACGCCTCGTCTGATCTGTGCTTTAGTGCCATCCACCTCAGCACTTTAATCTCGCATATCCTCCTTGCACTTACTACTACTACCTCCACTAATACTAGAAAGACAATGAGGATTAAGGAATGCCTCCACATAAGCTGTAACCTGATTGGTGGCTCTGTTCTTGGCTTGGGACACGCAGGGACTTGACCCTTGCGTCTGTCGGATGAGCTCCTTGCATTGTTTTCTAACTGTTGGACTGGTCGTGTTTATGCATCCCATCTGCGAGAAGGATCAAGGAATTACTTTAAGGCTACTTTAACGCTCATCATAAACAGAAGGCGTAGCTTTGATGTAGTGCTGTCAGGTCAACGCACATGTGGCTTGAGTTGCTCCTGGTTTCAAAAGATATTCTATAATGTAGTAGTAAGAAGTAGTAAGCATGATCGAGGACACTAAACATTTATGGACATTTATCGAGATTTATGGACATTGGTCTCTGCCCCTTAAGGACCAATGGCTCTATGTGTTTTTATCATTGCATTTCTTGTATTGATTCTCTGATCTGTGTTGGCAAATTCAACTATTTTGTTAAGAATTATTATTCATTTATCTTGTGCTGTATGCTCCTCAGTCCAACTGTTCTGTAATTAGTGATGCAACAATGAAATTTCCCCACTGTGGGACCAATGAAGGATGTCTTAATCTCTTAATCTTACTCCTTCAGCGTCTCTACTTTCTGCGTAAACGTAGAGAATTTACCACTAACTCTAAGATTGTGCTTAACTTTTATGGCTGCACCATTGAGAGTTTACTTGTTGGTTCTGTGTCTGTGTGGTTTGGAAACATCACAGATAAAGAAAAGCGCTTTAAACAAGGTGCTCCGCTCTGCAAAGAGGACCGTGGGCTGTGAGCTTCCTGTTCTGGAGGTTCTTTATCAATCCAGACTTTTAAACAAAGCTCTTAGGATTGTTAATGACTCTTCTGGCCACCCTGGGAAAGCCATGTTCCAGCTTCTTCCCTCTGGCAGAAGATATCGCTCTCTGAGATGCAGGACATCTCGTTACGCTAACAGTTTTTATCCACAGGCTGTTATCAGTGTGAACAGAGCACTTTAATAATTTGCACTTGTTTTGAAACTGTTTTAGTCGATCGATTTCACAGTGACATTTGTTTACTGTTTTATTTGTTTTATTTCTGTCTTTTAATGTTGTTTTATGTCTGTATTTGTCTGTGCACACTGGAGACTTTTGCTAATGTATTCCTATGTGTTTTTACTGCAAATGGCAAATAAACTGAATCTGAATCTGAATCTGGGCGACAATAGCTCAGTTGGTAGAGCATTGGCCTTAAGGCCAGAAGGTTGTGGGTTCAATTCCCACCTCTGCACCTTCTCCACCGACTCCCACTGATGACTGCTGTCGTTGTGTCCTTGGGCAAGACACTTAACCCCACTTTGCCCAAAAGCCCCCACTGAAAGATCAAGGCTATGCTCACAGTCAGAGAGCAGCCGTCCTCCTGTGGACTCACCACCTGCAGAGGGTCAGTGAGGGGCTGGTGCTATGAGACTTGGGTGGTATCTCTGATTGCCACCCCCCTGACCCAGAAATGGATTAAAGGGTAGAAGATGGATGGATGGATGGATGAATCTGAATCCTTGGTCAAATCTCCCTGGGTGCATAAACAAATAATCTAGGAGAAAATCTTCAACCCACTCCCTGGTTCTTAGAAAGAGTAAGGAACTTCTAAAACGATGTAAGGTTAGACAGGCCTTTGCTGTCCGAGCCTGACGTCCGAGTCCTCTATGCGACATAAAAACTTCTCTTCACGAACCACAAGTCGAGTTTTCTTTTGCTCTTGTTGTATTTAGTTTAGCTGTGACAAGTTTCTTATCGTCTCAGCGATATCGGCTTTGATTATTCCAGGTTCTTAATGACTTATGTAGAGTTATAGTCCGGCCACCAGGGGTCCGTGACCTAAAATTCATCATTCATAATTTGAAAATGTATGTAAAATTAAACTATACATAATAAACAAGATATTATGTTAAAGTTTTACACCTCTTTTATCAAGATAGAGATTTTATACTTATTATTGATGCTAGAGTTAGAGTTTTATTTTAATTAGTATAGCTATTGTTCACTGAACTTGTGCCGTGTGCTCCTCTTTCCTTCTGTCCTATGACGTGTGATGCAACACTGAAATTTTCCCACTGTGAGACGAATAAAGGATCTCTTAATCTTAAGTAAACAGAAAAATAGACGTTTTAAAAAGGGGTTGTACAAAGCCCCTCTCACTCAACACGCACACACCAAGTTTGACATTTTCTTTGTGACTTTGTTCCCAAAGGTCCCACATCACAGTACTAACCAGGTCCTACCCTGCTTAGCTTTAGAGCTCTAATAGGATCTGGTTTTCACATGCAGGTGGCACCACTAACACGTCCTTTGCCGTGGACTGTCGTCTCTCAATCTAAAAGGTGTGAAAAACTTTAAGGATTTTCATTATTTGTAGCAGGAGGCAGCGCCAAAAACCATGAAGCAATTACCACATGGTTTCAGATGTAGTTGGCGGAACATGGACCCGAAAATTAATATTTTCATGTCCCAGATCCAGGTTGAGGAAATATACATTTTAACAAGCAGCGCGACAGGGAGAAGAAGCCTTTGAGCACACCACTTTTTTCACTGTGTATTTTAGCAGCAGGAATCTGTCAAAACAAGCGACTTTTCAGATTTGTTCTTGGGGAAGCTGGCGTGGATTACTTTGGCGAAGTTATTATGAGATGAGTTGGAATTGAAAGCCGATAGCAAGTCGCCTTTGATAATGGAAAAGCCTCCGCAGAGCAGGATATAAAAGAGTACCCATTGAACTAGAGCTCACAAACTCAGGAATCGATAAGAAGTGGACGGGGAAGAGATGTGACCTTTTCATTTCAGTAGGGACACGATTTGGAGACACTTGAGCGTCAAAGCAAAACGAAATTCCAGTGGCTCTCGATGCGCTTAAGACATAATGAAAATACACTTAAACTCTTTACACTTTGGTTGGTGTCTTATGATTTACTGCTTTCGTTCTGAACATATTTTGTGGCCATAGCTGAAAGGTATATTTGACGATGTTACTCAAGAATCTCCATACATAGATACTTTATTGATCCCCCTGAGGAGAAATTCAGGTGTCCAGGAATAGCAGAAACACAACAACAAACAAAAATAAATAAATAAATAGTTATAAAAAAGATGGAACTCAATTAGTTGATTAGGAATTAAAATAACAATCCCATGTCGTAATAAAACCTATTCTTAACAAGCTTTGGTCCAAGTTTAATTCAAAACTTAATTCATTGACAACTATTTCCATCGTCAATTAGTTGCAATGAACCGATTCACTCGACACAGCCCTAACACCGATATAAGCACTGGTAGAACACTGAAGTTGTTTTGGAGCGACATGGTTAAAATATTCCATCACCAGCACTGATTCCACCGTCCTCACCCTCTGGCAGAAAATAATTGCACTATTTCTCTACAGGGCAACTGCGGATCAACTTCCCAACAGCGAGACAAGGTTAGACAGGTCAACAATGTGGCATGAGAGCCCAGAATGGAACATATTACAGTCTGAGGTTGGCTTGACGAGACATGTGTGACTGTACGAGCAGAATGGACCTGACTCTTCACGTCGGTCTTCTGCACGGGACAATCAGAGCACTCCAGCGTCTCCCAGGGGTGCTAAGACATGGGGAAGTTGTTGACCTTTTTTCCACATTTGCGGCGCCCCCGGAGGTCGATGGGGGGAATTTGCTGCGTCGCGTAGAATGACAGCTTTTCGTCAGATCGTCACTTCAGCTCGTGACATACAAGACTGTCCCGTTAGACGACATAGGGTAAGGTGATGGTTTACTGTTCACACCGGGGAAAGAGCTAATAGTGCCAGGAATGACCAAAAGGCTCCAAAGTGACGATAACAGATGAGAGAGGTGTTGTTTTATTTTAAGCTTCAGCATCCTACAGCACGGCCTTGGTATGACGGTTATGCAGCATGCTTTAGATCAGGTGTCTCCAAACCTTTTTCCCAGGACGGTAAAGGCAGAGAACTACTCCTTTAAGTGGCCCTGGGGAAAAAATGTGTGCTATATTGGTGTGAAAGAGCCTGATATTGGTCATTCAGTCATTATTTATCTTTGCATAATTGTTACTACAACAATAAATAATGAGAATGTATTAGAGAATCTGAAATATTAAGTATATTCTTTGATTTGTTCATTTCTAAATCCTTTGGCGAGGTACCTGGAAAGGGGGGGGGGGGGGGGGGGGGGAGCTACAGGTTGGAGACATAGACCAAGCAGAGACCCAATGATCTATTCAATTAAATGTATTTGTGTATAGCCCTCAATCACACAACATTGTCTCAAAAGACTTTACAAAGTTGTCGGTTGAACAACAATGGATAAAGTCGGATGACCCTAATCCTAACACCAAAACAATGCGATCATCAATGAGTTCGGGGACACCTGACTTTGTATAATGTGTACGTAACAATGTGTTTTTAATTGTGTTAAAAGCCTTGGCTATAAATGCTGAAGAGTTTCACTTGTTGATTGTGTACAATTGTCCCTGTCAAATATATCAATAAATACAATGAATAACAAACACATAGTAGCATTTATCCATTAATTTTCTTCCGCTTCATCCGTTGCCGGGTCGAGGGGTAAACAGTTTAATCATAACAGGACCAGCAGCTAAGACCAAGATGTTAAATATTTATGTTCATAACAGCAGAGCATTTGCATTTGTCAAAGGGTCAGAAGGCCACAATTATTCCCCTGGGTTTAGGGAGTTAATTGGTATTTAGAAACCCATAGACAATCATTCCATTCCATCTGCTTCCGCTTTATCCATTGCCGGGTTGCAGGGCAGCAGTCTGAGCAGAGACGCCCAGAACACACTTCCTACATAAACATCCAGCTGTGGCCAATCAAGAAAATTTACTTTTCTGCAATTGATTTGTTATTGTTGGAGCTAGTTTTTTTCAGCAAACCGACCACATGATTAAGATAAACCAATAGCTATAGCCAAATAAACTAGGCAAGGCAAGGCAAGTTTATGTATATAGCACAATTCATACACAAGGCAACTCAAAGTGCTGAACAAAACAAGAAAGCATTAAAATCATAAATTATCACAGAACATTAAAAAGAAAGATAAAAATAAATCCCTCAGTTGTAGCACAGCTAAACAGAACTGTCTTTAACCTGGTTTTAAACATTGTCAGAGAGG